CATTCAACATTAGCTTGGAAGAATTCCCCGTCAACACTTTTCACGTGTAAAGTTCATTTTTCACCACTGTCATTACCGTCACCACTATTAGCATCATGTCCACTGCCACCAGCATCTTTACCATCATCTCTTTCATCCACTCCCTTATTCCGATCGTTTAAGTAAGAAAAAAATAAAAAAAATTTGCATAGCATCCCCCCACACACGTCCACCTTCCCTGAAACTTCGAAAAATATCCTCTTCGCCTGAACAGTAAAACACTGTTAGCACCAACCACCACCACCACATATTACCACAGCTCGCCGGTAACAATTACAGTAAGAGTAACAATAACAGTTACAACAGCAGCAGCAACAACGTAGCCAACAAATACTGTCCTTGGAACAAAAAATTTTCCTCACCATTTCCTTTCCTATTCCTCTTTGTTCTCCCGTTCCGTTTCCCACACTTCCAAATTCGCTTCGTACTGCTTGAATTTCATTGTTACAAAATTAATCCAGAAAAGATAAGACGCTGAATTCTAACATACAAGCCTAATTCCGTGAACAAAAAATTATACGCCGATCTGGCATTAGAACTGAGCCTGCCTTAATGACAAAATGACAGTCTGATTTCCCTCTGTTTCACTGCTCAGTAGAACCATGTCCTCTAGCAACAGCAAGCTTTGAATATTATAGAGAAGAAAAGCAACAAATTCTGCCACTACCCATCTCGTCTAATTATGTAATCTTCGTCACTTCTGCAACTGTTATCACCGTAACTGCACATGTTATCATTCCTAGTCATAGATTTCATTTCAAAATAATCTTCGGTGACAAAAAACATCTCATTTCCCTTTAAGTTAACCTGAAGTACAAATTTCCGCTAATTTCTATTTCACAACTATATTCCAGTTCTCATTCTCATTTCAAAGATTTCAAACTCATTCTTCAGCATCAAAATCTCCTCCGAATCAACAACCCTCCGCAAGAAAAAAATATTCGTCTTTCCCCCCATCTACTTTTCTTTCTGTTTCTCCTTTCTTCTGCTTCTTTTCACGAAACAACAAAAAAACATTCGTTTGTATTGATTATTCAGATAGCTCAAACAATTCAAGTAAAAACCAAAAGCAGCAGCAACAGCGACAGTAAACGCAACAGCAAGCAAGTAAAAAAAGCACAGCTGCAACAGCGGCAGCACCACCAACTAAAAACGAAGAAGCTATGGAAACAGCCTTAAAAAGTTTCATCACAGTAAGAGAAATTTTTTCTGAAAAATATTATTCAAAAATTAAGAAGCACGTATTTTGAAACCTGTTTGTCCGTAATACGGCGACAACTCTTCTGCTAAAACCCATCGTACCCATTCGGGAAAAAATAAGATTTTTTAACCTCTTTTTCTAATACTGGCAAACTTACAACAAAAAAAATTATGCGACTCGTCTTATTCTCCTCTTCTTTTTTCCTTTCTCTTGTCATGGAAAATCTCAGTCTATGAGTTAAGCAGAAGAAGAAGAAGAAGAGGTAGAAGAAGAAGAACAACAGCAGCAGCAGAAGCAACAACAACAACTCAACTATAAAAATTAGAAGATATATGAATTCGGGCAAAAAAGAGGCCGATAAGAAGCTTTCATTCGCTAACACACAAAAGGCACATATACACATACACAAATATCAGCGGACGGCAAACGATTAGGGCAGAAGCGAGTTTCGACGGCTCGCCAAACTTCAGCAACGAACGAACGGACTGACGGACGGACGGTGGAGAAACAAGTTCGGGAAACACTGTTACGCCCCCATTGCCCCCCTCCGTGTCCCCTATCTTTCTTTTCCCCTTCTTCTCATTTCATCTCAGACAAAGCAGCGCATCTTCTAAACACTTCTTCTTATTATGATTCTTATTACATACTATATACCATCAATTATTCTTGGCTGTTAAAAAATTTCATCACCAGAATCCTCTTAAAACACTGGCTCTTTAAGCCAAACGGATCACAAAATATTATTAAGCTACTTTTTCTCAGCTTAAACAAGACTAAAACAATGTGGAAAATGAGTAGCTTCAAAGAAATGCAGTATCAAAAAAAAGTGTAAGACAAAGTTGCACGAAAAGTCGCAAATACTACTTTTTTTATCCTTTCGCCTACAAAACAATAACGGATATAAACTTTCAAATACAAATATATATTTGTGTGTACGCAAACATACGCTTCAGCATAGTGATGATAACGACAACGACACGGCGACAATTATGATGACACCGGTGATAAAAAATAAGGCCGAACAATAGTCAAAAGTCCAGAACTATTTACAAAAATTCTTTAAAAGTAAAATCTAGCCCGTCATAACATCGCAAAAGTATTCCGGAATGAAGATCAAGTAAAGCAATTTTATGAATTATCGACACTCATAAAACGAAAATGCCTAAGAAGGCTTTGTTCAAGGCAAGTCTGCACTTTTAAAATTTATTGGAGGAGGCCTTTGCCACTGCGCAATTTCGAAGAATAAAATAGTCTGAACACAGGCACAAGCAGATGCCAACGCTGCAGCAACAGAAACAACAACATACCAACAGCACCAGCAACAAAAGAGGCGTCAAACATATAATCGTGATACAAAAAGGCTGGTAGATGATTTGAAAACATTTTGAACTGATGGATTAGGAAAAATCGCTCACTGGTACCTTGAATTTTTACTAAGAATCCTTTTTCTCTGACACTAGAAAAACCTGGTTAATTGCTAATTTATTCAAAATATTCCGCTCTCTCTAAAGATCATAAAATGTCCAGGGTAAAGCAAGAAGCAGGTTTGTTGTTACAGGACTGTATCCGTAAAGTTAATCTAAATATATGAAAAACTAAGTGCGGAAAAAAGACGAACTTGTGAACAACGAAAACCTAAATTATCTTCATCAACGACTGCAGTACCAAAAGCAGAAGGAACATAGGAATGATATTTACTCTTTTCAGAAGTGAAATGGATACTGCAGAAACTGAATAACAGCTTACTGAGAACCGTATCAGCTCAGCTTCGGCTCCAACAGCCTATAGAGCATGTACGCATAAATACACCCATCCATCCAAAATTAACTATTCCACCATTCCGTCTTAAAAACCTTAAACTTAAAACCCGCTTTCAGTTTTTTTTAAACACGGCATCGTCTAAATTTGTACACAAATACATGACCAACTAGCCAAATTATGATAGATTTAAATTCAAATGAGAGACCGATTTTTGAGACTGCTTCGGGCGCCTTTACTCCCCTAATGGGTTTTATCTAGAATAAAAACCTAACAGTTATTAAATTAATGCTTTGACGTGAAGGAAAAAATCGAAAAAATAAACAAATAAAAAAAAAAGTGAAAAGGGAGAGAAAAATCATATCAAAAACCTTTAACAAAAGGTTTGGTAAAACAAGGGGACGACAGAAAAATGTGGATAAGTACCATAATTATTGCGTCCGAGACTTCAGGTCAAAATATTGAGCAAAAATAATTCAGATTACAATAATTTTAATCTTTTATGGTTCTTTTTTATGGTTTGATTAATTTAACCAGAAGAAAAGTTGATAAGAAACTGCAGTTTACCAAATGAAAAATTAAGCAGCAATTATTCCCAGAGTATAGTCGATCTAATGTCGACTAACCAAAGATGTCAGGATGGAAGACGAAGAGAGCAGGAGGAAGACGATGTCGAAGAAAACATCAACTGAAAAAGAAACTAAAAAGAGAAGAGGAGAAAAAGGAAAAACAAAAAAACTATTGAAAGTGTCATCGTCAGTATGATGAATCCAGTTCCGAGTCAGTAAGTCTCACTTATTCAGCCAGTCAGTCAGTCAGCCAGCCGCTGCTCCTGAAGCGTATTATGAATTCAAAAGGCTGAGTTGAAAGGCCATGAACTTTTGTAAAATGGGAGAGAGCAAAGATGACTAGTAACAAAAACGACGAAAACAACACGAGCACCACCAACACCACCATCATAATCATCGTCATCATCGTCATCACTGAAATTTGTAGACGATGTGAATGGTACAGAAATGAACATCGAGGTCTTTTTTCCTCGGTCGAATTTTTTCTCTGTAAAATTCACCTGAATATTTATTCAATGCGTTTTTCTCTTTTTGGAAAGACTGAAACGGATAAAAAATTTAAAGAAAAAAAGAATTTTTTTGAAGCAAAAATTTTTGAAGGAAAATTAGTGTGGCCGCCGATTTGGGAGCCAAATGATGGTGCTGTGAAAAAGTTCGACCTAGAAACACACGGGGGCCGCACATTTGCGAGCTGTGAACAAGAAGAAATATTTTCGGCCCAAATAAAGGAAAAAATGGCGATCGAAGGGCGCGAGATGGGGCGGCATGTTATTTGCGGCAGGGGCTGATGCCCCGACCACGCAACCCGCTCAGTCAAAATCAATTGCGATGAATATGTATATTTAAATATATACCTGTATGAAAATAATTTTTTAGTAAAAGAAATAAAAAGAAAGTAAAAAACCACGAAGAAAAATTCTATCAGGTACGCAGGAAACTTCAACGAAGGCTAACAATAATTAGCAAAAAGTATACAGGATTAAATTTGCTATGCTATCGAGCCAAAAATTTATAACGGGATTGTGGAGAAGAACTTTCCTTACATTCTCAGCAAACTGACAACGTCGTTTGTTGTTGGTAATAGTGATGATGGAGGTGGTAGTGGTAGTAGCGGTGGTAGCATTGCTGAGGCTGTTGGTGGTGATGCTGCTGCCATTTGTGCTGTTGCTGCCGCTGCTGGTGGCAAGGAGTGATGATGGTAGTGGTAATGGTGCCGCAGGTGATGCTACTTACTGGTTGTGTTGCTTGTGCTGCCTGTGTCCCTGTGTTTTAGTTGGCTAATGAAGGAATTCCGAAATTCCTTTCCAAACTCAGTTAAAATAACTCACAAGACTAGCCACTTCAATATGTAGATACGTGTTACAGACTTCGCGAACGCTATTTTTAGTAACGATAGCAGAAGCCATAAATTAAATATAAATATAAATATAAGTATAAATATATAAATACAAATATATAAATATAAACATAAATAAAATACAAATATAAATATAAATATATATAAATATAAATACAATATAAATATAAATATAAATATAAATACAAATATAAATA